CGTCGCTCAGCAGCTCGGGCATGTCCTCCAGGACCGCCTGCGCAGCGTGGCGGCACAGCGTGACCACAGCATGATGATATGATGCAGAATGCCGCAGCCACAGCATGACGCAGCATGCTCGTCGGCGAACTGCAGAACTAGGTGTGCTGCTGCAGCGTAGGGAGCAGTGAAGCTGGCCGCACCTGCAGCAGACCATCCTTGATCAGGAAGAGGGTGGGCATGAGGCCCGCCACGCCCATGCCGCCGCCGGCGGCGGAGGTGGTGCAGCGGAAGAGCACCGGCTCGCGAGGGTCTGAGGCCAGCTGCAGGAGGTAGTGGCTGATGGCGCAGCGCAGCGACAGCACCCTGCAGCGCCGCGGAGAGGGCAGCAAGGAAGCAGTGAGGAGGAGGAGGAGGAGGAGACGGCAATGGCCGGGCAGCTCATGCCCGGGGAGGGCCGGGTGCCTGGCGCCCAATGACGGTGCGCCCAAAGCATCTTGGGAGGCAGGCTGGCAGGCAGGCCTGTGTGCTGCTGTGCCGCACTGCGCGCCTGAGGTGGGTGCGGTCCTCCTGCGGGGTCAGCCTGCCGGTGTCGCGTGCCGCCGCCAGGCGCGCCGCCACCGGGCTGGGCGACTTGCTGGTCAGGCACAGGAAGCGGGCAGCGAGGCGGTAGGCGGCCTCCTGCAGATGGGGCCCCGCCGCCAGCGAGGCGCGAGCGGGCGCCAGCTCAGCCAGCAGCTGCACCACCAGCGTCGCCTCCTCCAGCTCAGCATCCCCGGGCTCCCAGCCCCTGCAGGGGCGGAGGTGGTGGCGGCGGTGGTGGGTTGGCAGGGAAGAAAGGGTGGCAGGGCGAGCGCTGGGAAAGGATGCAGGATGCACCAAGCAGCGGCGCAGCGCAGCCTGGCAGGCGGCAGGCTGGGCCGCACGCCAAAAACCCAGGCCTGCTGCGGGCCTGGGGACCAGGCCACACGCGGCGGCAGAACAGGCACAGGCACACACAGCATCACGGCAGAGCAAGGGGGGAGAGCTGCCATGCCGGCTGGCTGGCTGGGCTAAGGGCTGGCTGAGGCGACAGCGACACAACAAAGGGCCGCGGGGCGTGCCTGGTGCCGGGGCTGGCTGCGTCGTGAAGGATGCGGGTGAGGGTGCGGGCGTGGGCGTCGGCAAAGGCCAGCGCCTGCTCCCGGACCGCGCCGCTGGCGGGCAGCGCGCTCACCACCGCCACCACCAGGCGCAGCAGCGGGGTGAGCAGGTGGTGCAGGCGCTGGCGCAGGGAGGCGGCGCCTGCAGGCGAAGGGAGGCACGCCGCCGGCGGGGGGGTGGAGGTTTCTGGGTTCAGAGAGCGGTGTGCATGCCGGGGTGGGTGGTGGCGGCGGGGCGAGCATGCGACCAGCGGCAGCGGGCAGCATTGCCATGCGCGTTTGGAAGAAGCAGTACAGCACCGCCGTACACCGTATCGTTGTACTGCCCAGCTCACCGCTGTGCTGCCCAAACCCGGGCTCCTCGGGCTGCAGGTCCACCGCCTGGCACTGCCCCAGCTTCACCAGGGCATGCAGGCCAAACAGCTTCTGCGCGGCGGAGGCGCGCCCGGCCGCAGGCCCCGCCAGCGCCAGCCGCAGCAGCAGTGTGAGCTGCGCCTCCACCACCAGCAGCAGCGCCTGGCCCCGCGGCGGCAGCTGCGGGCAGGGCGGGCGCCGGGCGGGGCGGGAAGAAAGAACAACAGGAACAACATGTCAGCCAGGGGAGCACTCCCGGTGGAGCAGGGAGGAAAGCAGCCTGTGCACACATGGCAGTGGTATCACACACGGCCGACACAAACCTCCCAGCAGCAGCAGCAGCAGCAGCAGCAGCAGCAGCGGCAACCGCGGCAGCAGACTGGGCCTGCCCCGTGCCTGCGTCAGCGCGCGGTGCGGCGCCTCCTGCAGGTCTCCCAGTATCCTGGCGGGCAGCGCCGCACGGTACAGCTGCTCGGCGGCTGCCGCCCCGGGATCCGCCGCCAGCACGGCGCACAGCGTGGTCAGCGCCGCGGCGGCCTGCTGAGGCTCAGCCGATAGAGCATCCGCAGCCAGAAGGTCCAGCACAGGGGAGGCCTCCAGCAGCAGCGCAGCGTTGCCCTCCTCCAGCTGCAGGCAGCGGGCACGGCACAAGAGGGAGCCAAAAGGTGGGCAGGGAGGGCCGGGGCGGCGCGGGACGGCGCGGGGTCTGTGCACGGTCTTGTGGTTTGCAGCCAAGAGAGGGGCTGCTGTTTTCTTCTTGTTTCAGGCGAACCCGGGCTCTGGTGCAAGTGCCGCCCGCACAGCGTCGCCACACACACGCATCCAACCATCACAACAGCAACAGCCTGAGCATCGCACAGCTAGCCGCCAGCGCAAGCACGCACCTGGCTCTGAACCGCGTCGAGCTGCGCCGCCGCCGAGCTGCCGCCGGGCAGCGCGGCCAGCAGAGCGCCCACCACGGCCGGCGGCGCACGCAGCAGGGCGGGGCCGCGGCACATGGTGAGGTAGGAGGAAAGCGCACTGTACAGCGGCAGGCGCACCGCGTCCAGCTTGCGGCCCTGCAGTACAGCGGGGGGTACGTGTGGTACGGCGATACATGTCCGTGATATCGCGGTACGATTCTCACATCAAGCATAGCGCGCCAGGTGGCCCTTGGGGAAGATTGATTGGAGTAGCAGCTGCCTGTCAGCGCACACCTCAGGTATGGTGGTGCCCGCTGTCCACACAACACGCAAACCGGTTCCATCGCATGCATTCCCATAGCCCAGCCCAACCCACCTGCCAGGCCACCTCCAGCATCAGCTGCAGCAGGCCGTTGCAGCGCGCCGGCAGCGGCATGCCCGCCAGCGGGTCGACGGCGGCGGCCGCCGCCACCTGCTCCTGCAGCCGCGCCAGCAGCGCCTGCACGGCCTCGCACAGGGGTGGCGCCAGGCCCAGCCCGGGGCCGGACACCAGCTGCGGGGCAGGGGGGGCGGGAGGGCCCAGGCAGGTGAGCGAGGAGGCAGGTGCTCTATCGAAACCATGCCGTACGATGCGGACAGTGCCAAGCAGGGGTTGTATCTCATGATATAGCAGCAGCAGCAGCAGCACAATAGCAGCGGCAACAGGTGCAGGGGCTCGGACACAGCCAGGCACTGCATGCAGCCTGAGGCATCCGCCGCCACCACCCCCACCAGCACCAGCTCTGCCTGCTCTCCCCAACAGCTACCGGGCAGCTGCCGGGCAGCTACCCACCGTGGCCAGCACGCGCAGGCACTCCTCCGCCATTTGCAGTACCAACTCAACGAGCGAGCCCGCCCCGGCAGCCGCCGCCAGCTGCTCGAATCTGCGGGGACAGCAGGGAGGGAGGAGGAGCACACGTGTGGCGGTGGCAGGGCGGTGGCAGCCGCAGCAGCACACCCGTCAGTGGCCGCCGCTGCTGCATCGGCCATTCGACAGATGCCACAACCGCCGGCTGCCACAGGCCCGCGACCGGCCCACCGCCTCGCCTGCGAGTGAACGCCACCAGCAGCACGGCCTGCCAGGCGGCCAGCAGCGCGGCCTGCCCCGCCAGCAGCTCGACGTAGGCGTTGTACTGCTGGGCGTACTGCAGGGCCAGGCGGCACGCCTCCCGCAGCGCCTCGCTGGCGCCGCCATGGCGTGCCACCCACTCGTTGTACCTGCAGGTTTCAGGTGGGAGGGCAGGGGGCGTGTGGGCGACTGTGGGCATGTGTGGTGCGGTGGTGGGGGAGGCGGTGGCGGGGCGGTGGTGGCACGGAGGTGGAGGAAGCAAGGAGGAGTGCCGCAGGCGCGACGGGGGAGACAGCAGCGGGTGGTGTGGGGCACAGCCAGGGCAGCC